AAGTTAGTTGCTGGGTTTTGGTTGATCCCGAGAAAAACCATTGTTAAAGGTTGTGGTTGAGCTTGTGAAAAGCCATTGTAAAAGCTTGGTGAAAGCTTGGGAATTTCACTATTCATAGTGATTTGATTTGGAAAACCCTTGGTTGAACAATCAATGTAGTGGATGTAGGTCTTTGACCGAACCACTATATATCTTTGTGTTTTGTCTTTGTTGCTTTATTCTTGATTTCATTCCTTGTTAGATTATTCATTAACTTGCATTTAACTTCCCATCATTGAAGTTAAACTTACCCCTAAATAGAGGTCCAATCTTGAAAGAGCCAAAAAGTGTTATTCACCCCCCCTCTAGCACATTTACTTGGGACCAACATTAGCAACTTTGATATAGGAGTATATTATTATTTAGGTTCTTCTAGGAATTATAAGTATAATAGAATTTCTTTTTATTTAAATTTACTTGTACTAGGACTTTAGGCTAGTCATGTTCTATTTAGGAATAGAATACCTATTTTATTTAAATCTCTTGTTAACTACTCTAATTGTACTAAACAATCTGAAGTAGAGTTTTATTAGGATGTGGGCTTATAATACTATAAATAGGACCTTTAGGCTTAGTTATAAGATATTCAAGTTGAGAATTAATAAAAAAATATTTTCTTTAGTAAGCAGGAGTGTTTATTTTCTCTAAGCTCATTTCAAAAGTGTAAGATATTTTAAATCTTTAGTTTGGTCAGCCATAGTGGGATTTTAGCCATTGTTCCCTTGAATGAGGTTTTCTAACCTTCCTAAGATTGGTAATTCACCTTAGTGGGGTTTATAACCTTGCCAATTGGTGTCTTTCACAACACCTAGGTGTATTCACAATGCCTCAACGTTAATTTAGTATCAGAGCAAGAAGATCATTATTCACTACGTAGTTTGGGTTCTTGTCATTGTCGATTTTGACTTTTGTTGTTGAGACAACAAAAAATGCCACCAAGATGTTAAAATCACGAGATTAAGATTCAAGAACTATGTCGCCAATTACAAGAGCAACTCACAAGATGTGATGTTACTAAAATCAACAATAGCAACTCTAGTGATGAAAATGATGACACTAACCCATTCCATCAAAATTCAATCTCAAATGAAAGAGCACCTATTCGTCACCTGAGAACTACTGCTACTAAAGATTTAGGAATCAAAGTCCACATTCCTATTTTTGAAGAAAGTCTTCACCTTGATGACTTCTTTAACTGGCTCTACATAGTGGGAAGAGTTTTCATTCTCAAAGATATTCCCAATGAAAAATGTGTGAAGCTTGTTGCAATTAATTGAAGAAGCACACCTTTATTTGGTGGAAAAATCTCAAATGACAACAAGAAATAGAAGGTCGTATCATGATTAGAACAAGGAATAAGATGAGTTAGGAACTCAAACATAAGTTCCTTCATGAACATTATCGATAGGAAATTTTTATCAAATTTCATAACTTAAGGCAAAAAGCAATGTCGATCGAAGAATATACAATGGAGTTCGAACAACTTCACATGAAATGCAATGTCCATAAACCTAAAGAACAAATTGTAGCTCATTATCTTGGAGGTATCAATGTTGAAATTGCAGATATTGTTCAACTACAACCATGTTGGAACTTAAATGATGTCATCAAATTAACATTAAAGGTTGAGAAACAACGATCACAAAAAAGCTTAGTGAGTTCATCTAGACAAAATGATTCCACCTTAAACCATGGAAGACAAAGTTCGACAACCATTCTGCCTCTAAAAGTAAACCCTTCAAACAATAATAACAATGAAACTACTTCTACTTATACTTCTAATGTGCTTTAAATGCTAAGGATTTAGGAATATTGCTTTTGATTATCCAAATTGAAGAATTATCTTCATAGTAGAAGAAGAAGTTATGAAAAAACCTATCATGGAAGAAGAAGAAAATAAGCTAGAAATATTCAACAATGATAAGATAAATGAAGTTCCTACTAACCATAGAGAAGTTTTTGTCATTCATCGTAACCTCAACATTGCTATGATAATTGAAGATGTAAGTTGGCTTATTCATAACATATTCTATACAAGGCACACACGCTAAGGGAAGGTTTACAATGTCATTATTGATAGTGGATGCTACGAGAATGTTGTTGCCAACTACATAGTGGAAAAGTTGAAACTTCTAACTGAAGTACATCTCTATCCTTCCTAGATACAATGGTTAAGAAATGGAAATGAAGTTAAGGTAAGGAAGTGTTGTTTTATTCAATTCTCCATTGGAAATAAGTATCAAGATGAAGTTTGGTGTGATGTTATCCCAATGGAAATGTGCCACCTGTTGTTGGGATGCCCATGGCAATATGATCGTCGAGCTCACCATAACAGATGTAGGAATACTTATTCCTTCATTAAGGATGGAGTAAAAATTATGTTGACTCCACTAAAGTTAGAAGGTCGTCCAAAGAGACAAAAGAAGATAAAGCATTGATCAATTTGTTTGGCCTAAACAAAGCTTATCGTGAGTCAATCTTCTTTTACTTATTATTAGTCTGTGAGGAGAATGAAGTACTTTCATCCTTATCCAAAGATGTCAAACCCATAATTGAGGAGTTTTGTGATGATGATATACCCCATGGATTGCCACAAATGCAAGATATTCAACATGCCATTGATTTCATCCCTAGTTCCATTATTTCAATCAAGCTTGTTTATCACACGAGTCTACAAGAGCATAAAGAGTTACAATATCAACTTAAACAACTTTGGAAGAAAGGCCTGGTAATAGAAAGTGTTAGCCCTTATGCTGTTCTTATTTTATTAGTTCTAGAAAAAAATAGAACACGGCATATATGCTTTGATAGTCATGTCGTGAACAAAATCACCCTCAAGTATCGTTTTCCCATTCCTATACTTGATGATTTGTTGGACCAATTACATGGTGCTATTATTTTGTCTAAAATCAATTTGCATCGTGGTTATCACCAAATTCAAATGCGACTTCGAGATAAATGGAAAATTACCTTTAACACTCATGATGGGTTATATGAATGGACCGTTATGCCATTTGGCCTCTCTAATGCACCAAGCACTTTCATGTGCCTAATAAACCAAGT